AACCCTGTAGGGCCCCAGGATCTGTCTGAGCCCCCTCGCTTCCAGTTGGTTCAGTACGTTGGCAAGGCCACTACTGTGCGCCACCCCCCACCAGCCCCGAACTAGGATTTTGCTCCAGAAACTGTGGCAGCCTTGCTGGGAAGCGACCCCCCTCTGACTCCCCAATATACTACTATAAAAAGAATTCCATAGCTCTTTTATACATCCTGAGCATATGATAAAATCTTCCAGGAAGTCCCCTGACCGCTCCCCTTTGCTCTGATCACTTACTATTAATTACAATGCTTTATCTCCATGGTCACAATAGAGGGTGGGCTGAAGTTCTTTCTAGGCAGAAATAATCTTGACCTTTGGAAGGTCCTTCAAAATACACTTAATCCTTTCTTTTCCCAAAATAGGATTAGACCAAAACTGGCCCAGGACACCCCCGCCCTCACCAAGTGAAAAAGATAAATATATTAGGATTCCTCAAATTAAGTTTTAGATCCCTACAAAACTATATAAGTACCATTCTTTATTAAGATCCATAAGAACTAATATCTATACTTGAGACTTTCTTTTCTCAGCACCATTCCTGGTAATCACAAGATGGCTGCTGCACCACATCAGCTGATAATCATCTCTGCTTACTGGAACCGCTTTCCTGAAACTGCATTCCATGGAGACCCACCTACAATTGAGGAACTGCACTAGACCAGATGAATAGATATTGCCTTCTTTCTCAATGATCTTTCCTATTCTATTGTTTAATGAATGTTTCCTTACAAAGTATTAAGCTATTTTATTTACTGAAACTTCCTTACAGTTTTAGTGACGGCAAGTGTATGTCCTCTTGACTTGTTTTTATTTATGGTTTCTTTTAGTTTTTTCTTGGCGTCTTGCATTTCCATATTTTATATTCCTAGGCATAAGGAATATTTTTTCAGATGCACAGAAATATAATTTATTTTTATATTGCGAACTTTGTTTCAGAAAATGTTATAAACACATTTCATTTTTTAATTCTTATATTTCCCTGTAATTTCTCATGTAATATTTTGTGTGCCTCTTTTCTGTTGATTTTTTTATTATTTATTTATCTTTTTTCAGATTTATTGAGGTATAATTGTCAAATAAAAATTGTAAGTATTCATGATATGCAATGTGATGTCTCAGTTTACATATAAATGAAAAAATAGCCATCCCTTCACATAGTTACCTTTCTGTGTATATGTGGTGAGTGTACTTAGTTTCCTAGCAACTCTTATACAATTTTTTTAAATGAAGGGAGGCATATGTATGCACACAAGAGAGAAAGATAGAGAGATTGGGGAAGAGATAGAGAGCACCCCCAAAAGAGCCTAAATAATACCACAATACATTTTCCTCCAATTCTCTATAACTTCAGGATCCTGGACTTTTGTGTATGAATTCCAAATACTTTTCAAGGTGACTGGGCTGGAACTTAAAATATGGTCACTCACGTAGAATCTGAATTGCTCTGCACAGCACCTAACTGTTGTGTTATGGGGTCAGACAACAGTATGCTGAACATTAGGTTTCCAAAACATATTCATTTTATAACTGAAAGTTTGAGTCCTTCAATAAACAGTTCTCTATATCTGCCATCCCCAGCTGCTGGCAACCAGCCTTCTACTACATGTTCCTATGAGTTTAAGATTTTGGATTCTACATCATGAGATTGTGAGATCATGCAGTAGTTGTCTTTCTGTGGGTTATGTCACTTAATGTTCTCCAGGTTCATCCACGTTGTAGCAAATGGCAGGATTTTCTTCTTTTTAAAGGCTAGATTGTATTTCATTGTGTGTGTGTGTGTGTGTGTGTGTGTGGTGTGTCTATGTGTGTGTGTGTGTGACATTTTCTTTAATCATTTATCTGTCAATATACATTTAGGATTTTCCATATCTTGACCATTGTGAATAATGCTGCAATGAACATAGGAGTGCAGATATCTCCTCGAGATAATTAATTCCCTGTATTGTCTTCATCTGTCTGCCACCCAGGAGCTCTGCTGTTGGCCACATGGAAAACTTAATCTTAGTTATCTAAGATATGCATTTTTTTCTTCAAGACTTTGCACATACCCAAAACATTCTTCACTGCTCTGTCTCCTTAGTTTTTGCTTATTTTTCAGTTTGAATTTAAATATTATTTACTCTAGAAAGTCTTTCTTGATTTCTCCAAGACTCATTTAGAATCCTTAAACCACATACAGCCACCATATCCTAATTAATTATTCATTACTGCATTGTATTACTGCACTGTAATTATCTTTGTCTGCAATGTTTTTTTTAACTTCTCTGCCTTATTTAATCTCATTGTGCTTGAGGAGTAATCGGTGCCAAATAATTATTTGTTAGAGAAATGCAAATAGAAAGCACATCTGACTTAACAATACAAAGTAAGTCTTTAATCAATATTTAGTTAAATCAGTATTAAAACATCATTGAAGAATCCCCCCCAAAAGTAGTCCATTCAGTTCTGTTATCATTTATATATACAATAAATTAGAAGACCACAGATGATTTAATTTTGATTATCAGCCACTAATTTTAAAAAAGTTGCTGAACCCTATTGGATATCAGGTGTAGTTCTCTATCAATATCACCATCATGATCATGGTCATCCCAACATGTAAATTTGGTCTAGTTCATGTCAGTCTCTGACATGGCCACATCAGTGACCATTCATCCAGGGCTTTAGGGTCTAAGACAAATTTAAGAATATTCTCACATATGTGGCAAAAAGACAGAAAAGTATCTGTATTTTGTGCAAATCAGAGAGAAGTGAATTTTCAGATGTGTGTATGTGTGCTGAGTTGATATGTTTGAAGAATTGTGAATAAAATTGTGGTGTTTTGAATTCCAAGGCCTCAGAGTATGAAGTTGAAAATTACCTTTCATTCTCTTCAGTTCCATTGTTTTGTTTTTTCAGAGAGGTTTTTTTTTTTAATTTATATTTTAATTGTTTTTTTTTTTGCTATAGGGAGCATGTACTCACCAAAGACACAGAATGAGACAGAGAAACAGAAAACGAGAAATCACCCTTCACCACCACCACCAGGGGAGGTGGTATACTATAATCTCTTCTTCTCCATTCTCCTCTCGAAATTTTGGGCATGCATGCACATGTGTCTCGCATGAGTTTCAATACACCACGTACAAGACTTGAACAGTGGTCAGCCATGTGGGAATCCAGTGATGTAACCATTATGCCATCTGCTGGTCCCCAGTTCCATATTTTCAATAGCAGAAAGGATATGGAGAATTCTCAGAACTCCTCTCACCAGTGGATGGTGTCAACTTTATTTCAACAAATAAAGCTCCAACCCCTGAATCAAACAAATGTCTAAAATAAATGTGCATGTTCTCATTCAGTCTTTTTCAAAATAGGTGTGCCATGAAGTTGTTTAGACATTATATTCTGATGAACTAATGATAATTTAGCAACTAATTTTATTTTTGAGACTCTCATTGCCAAATAATTGGATGAAGCATGTACAAAATAGAGCTTCTGATATTAAGAAAAAAAAAATCACTGGCATAATGTCAATTCAGCTAAGCCTGTTGTCGTCCTTTTATTCTTCTCTTTTCCTAGTTTTCCCCTTTTCTTTCAATCCTAACTTTTCTTTCTCCTTTCTTCTTATATATTGCATTCTAATAGCCGTTTTTATTTCTCAATAATACATATATGAAAATAATATTAATTCTTCAAATTTATAAATGTACTTTATAATGTAAAACAGTGTGCTAGATACTCTTTTTTCATTTAATCCTTCCAACAACCCTAGTTTAATCATTCTCTATGTATAGATTTTAAGTTGTTGGTTCATGCTTATATAGTAAGTATATAAGATAACTTCCTTTTAGATTCAGGTTATGTGTCCATCAAGCGAGAAGGATTAGATTGCATGACTCTCAAGTGAATGGCTAAGAAATAAAAATTTATGACATTAGTCTCACAAATCATTACTTAATTTAAACACATAGTTAACAAAGCCACAGCTAACTTGGTCAAATAGATGTGATGTACCTATATAGGCGGCTGAGATTAAGCTGTTCCTTATGGTGAGTGCCACGTTCTTCTGTAATCTGTATAGTACTGAGTTTACAGCTTTGCACCTGGTGGCAAAGGCATTATATAATTCAGGGCTCCTGAATGCTCAACTTATTCTCACATCGTATCTGACATCATGTCTATGCTTAGTCTATTCCTTACCGGGTGAAGAAGGGGAAATGAAGGGAGGTAAAAAAGAACTATTTCTTGAGTATCATTTATCAGACAAATATGGAATTGCTTTACATCTTGTAATTCATTTAGTTCTTACAATGACTCACTGAGGAGATATAACAGTCCTGTGTTTCTTAAAGAATAACTGATAATAAAAGAGGTTAAACCTTATCCAAACACTTAGCAGAAAAATAATCTGAATTAAGATTCCAATACAGCTCTTTGTGACTCCAAAGTATGTGTTTTCACTCTACCATCAATCTCTTAGAACTTTAATCACACCTTCATTTTTCCATAACCTCATATTCTCTTTGTCTAGAAATAACTTATTGCAAATATTTCTTTTTAAACCTCAAAATATACACTGAAACTTTCAGAGATTTAAACAACATTCTCCACTGTTTTCTTCCTTGTAGCAGAGGTATCAACTGTCTGGGCAACCGCAATAAAATAATACAGTATTTGTAATATTGAATTGAGAGAACAGACATTTGCTATGCATGAAATTAATGTGGAATGAATCCTTAAAAGTTTCCATGTTTATTGAACTTTCTAGAGACCAGTCTGTATAAATATATGCCCTGGATACAGGCTGAACTTGAAGAAATTTCCAGTAGGAAGAATCAAGGTTATATGAAACAATTATTTCTTCTTTCTGTCAAGGAATTCTAGAAAAAAAATGATGAATATGTTTATGGAATTGAAGTGCTATCCAGGACACTTTCATGAACACAATTTCATGAACACAATTTCATGGTGCATCAGCTCACTCATACAGTTTTGGGAAGTGAGTATCTACTCAGGACCTTTTTTAGAGCTGTCTTCACTTCTTTATTTCTCAGCGTGTAGACAAGGGGGTTGAGGAGCGGAGTGATCACAGTATAGGTCACTGCCACAAGCCGGTCCTTGTCTGAAGAGTACAGGGACGTGGGCCTCAAGTAGATGAAGGAAGCACAGCCATAGTGGACAATGACCACTGTGAGGTGGGAGGCACAGGTAGCGAAGGCCTTACGCTGTCCCTCCACGGAGGATATCTTGAGAATGGTGGAAACAATGAAGACATAGGATATGAAAATCAACACAAAGGGAACCAGCAGCACCAGAATGCTGAGAAAGAAGATGACCATCTCCTTCAAGTTGGTGTCTGTGCAGCCCAGTTTTATGACAGGGGAAATGTCACAGAAAAAGTGGTTGATCCTGTTGGAGGCACAGAAAGGCACACTGAACACCAGGACGTTGACAACTACCGAGATCAGGAAACCACAAAAACTGGAGGCTAGAACCAACTGCATGCAGGTGGCTCGGTTGACAATGAGTGTGTAGTTGAGAGGGTTGCAGATGGCAACATAGCGATCATAGCCCATCACGGCAATGAGAAAACAGTTGGTACAGGCAAAGCCCACAAAGAAGTAGAGCTGGGCAGCACACCCAGAGAATGAAATAGCTGGGACTGGGGACAGCAGGTTGATTAGCATTTTGGGTACAATGACCAAGGTGTAGCAGGTTTCAGAGCAGGAAAGGACAAAGAGGAAGAAGTACATAGGGGTATGCAAAGTCCTGTCCAGGCGAATGACCGTTGTGATGGTGACATTGGCCATCACAGTGGTCAGATAGACTAGCAGAAAGATAAAGAAGAGTAGGATCTGCATATCCCCCAGGTTTGAGAAGCCTATAAGGATGAACTCAGTGATCATGCTGTGGTTCTGTCTCTTCATTGCTCAGTATCTGAAATTGAGAACAGAGAATGGACCCAAGTGAATTGCCTCCCAAAAAACCTGTATTATTTTATTTTATTTTTTTAATTACTGGAAAGTATGTGTATGTACGAGAGAGAGCGAGAGGGAGAGCGAGAGGGAGAGCGAGAGGGAGAGCGAGAGCGAGAGCGAGAGCGAGAGAGAGAGAGAGAGAGCGCGCACCTACAGTGGGGGTAGCCACGCCACAATTCCTTTCCTTCATTTCTTCTTCCCATTAGGGTTTTGGGCATGCACCCTCTGTTTTTTTCAAGTTACCAACCATGGTTGGTCATGTGGGATCTGGTTCCCACCTCACAATGCTTAACCGCATTATGGGGAAGGAAGCAGGTTCTGGAGTCAGACTGCCTAGGTTGGGACCATGGCTTTGTCTCTGACCATAATTGTTGGGAAAATCACTTTGTGTTCTCTGTTTCCATTCCTAAAACGGCAATAAGAATATCACAAACCAAAATTTTTTGTGAGTACCAAACGCTCACAGAAGTTTCCTGACTCACATTAATTATTCAATAGAATTTAGTTGTTAGTATCTAGTCCAACTCCCTCACCTCATATTACTCATAAAGAAACTGAGGACCAGAGAATGAAACAAAAAGATTTAGGGTAAACTGTTTTTTAACAGCAGAAGTGAGACTGTAACCCAAATATCCTAAACTCCTCCATCCAAGACTTTGTCTTATAAATACATGGGTCCTGTTTTTAATATTTTCATTGTATTGTATGCTTATACATGAGCAACTTAGGAAATAGGACAATATCTTTTTTTTGGGGGGGGAGAGATTTTTTGCTCTAGGGCACATGTCGTCGCCAGAAAGACAGAGATAGACAGAGAGACAGAAAGCGAGAAATCACCCCTCCAGGCAGGATGGCCATGTTGTAATCCCTTCTCCTCCATTCTTCTCTCAGGATCTTGGGCATGCATGCATACATGCCCAGCATGAGTTTAAGCCACTGGGTCTGGGACTTGAACTGCGGTCGACTACATGGGAATCCAGCGACATAGCCATTACTCCAATTGCTGGTCCCCAACAGTATCTTCTTTAATCTGTGTGATCCTCATGCATCCAGCCTGCTCCATTCTACCAGCTACACCTGTAATTCATCACACGTTTTATTCTTCTGCTAAAGTATATATTGGATTGTTGGAAAAGTCATGATGAATTTTTTTTGCATAGAGAAACAGAAAAAAATACGTCATGACTTCCGACAACCCAATATCTGACCTGTTATTCAGGTAATTTCTTCTTATTTCCTACTTTAGGCCTATTTTAGGAATATTTTGCTGGCAGGGCTTTTTTCAGAAGTATGTTCCTTCTCCGTGTGGTCTCTGTCCCTGTCTTTCTTCCGCCCTAGATCCTGATGCTATGACCTACTTCACTCATGCAGAGTTTCTACCAGTTCTTCCACCTTTGAATCTTTCCTTGGTATCCAAAGTATTTTGAGAGTGGATCGACTAATAGCATTACGAGTAAAAAAGAGTGGTCGTACAACGATACTGCTAGGAAGATACTTACATCTACAGGCAAAGTGTTAGCAAAAATCCCTGTTTCCTTTCTCCTGTAGTCCATCAGAGTCTAAAGAGGTGAGAAAATGGACAAAATTTAGAAGAACCTTTTTTCTTCCGGATATCATTGAGAAAAGTCCAGGGATCATGAACCTTAAAAAATGAAAAGCACCTCTGCCTGGTAACTGAGCTGAAACTAACTGGACTGTGTTCCTCTTAGCATCTCTTCATCTCTGATGGCAGAAGCTCCAGTAAAATCCCTGGATCTTATAGAGTAGGGGTACCCCTGGGAACTGAGACTTTAGAAGCTATGCATTAAAAATCTGTATGCTCAGCCCCGAAGAAAGAGAAAAATGAGTCTGGTTTACTTTATTTGTGAAGGAGATGAATAGCTTTGAATACTACAATTTTACCCCCTTGTGGATTATTCATTTGGGATCCAGGTTACATTTGCTGAATGAAGTAATAATCGATCACTTCCTCAGTCATTAGCTTTATAGATTCTAAATATAGATGAGCTCTTTTAAGGGAATAAATAAATGCCATCTTTGACAAATGTATAGTTTCCTCTTCTTTCTTCAAGTTTACTAGTTGATATTTTTTCTATAACTCTCCTGATTTATGCAGGTCTATGCCTACATTCTGAAGGGATGCATACTCTAACATTTTCTACCTTCCTCCACCTGCTAAAATTCATCTTTTCAAATAATCATCAAAGCAGACATCCACCTGCACATCTATAATTACTATGCATTGAGTACTTACAATGTTCCAGGCATTTTGTGAGTGTTTTGACAGAAAGGTGGCACAAAGACGAGAATGGAATAGTCTATGCCAATGGTGGATTACAGACCACATACTCTGAGCCTCCTGAGGTACATAATATTAGGTTTTACATATTGTTGGATTTTCACACACTTGGCAATTTTAGAACTACTAGCTTCTTTTGAAAAGATCTCAGTATTAGGAAGGGGAGATGTAGAAATAAAAAAAATATTAATTACAGAAGACAAAGCAGACTAAGAAAGAGACAAACACAGAGCTCTACAGCATTACTGAGAGGGCCATAGTTCTCACATCAAGCATCAAGGTCAGTGAGTCTGAATCTCCTCAAACTCCCTTTACAGCCCTCCCATCAAGGAATTTTTCTCTTCCTGAGGGAGTTAAGGTTTTCATTTTAAAATAGGGAGCAAATGATAGATTTCTTTTGTTTTAACTTCTTTTTTGGGGGAGAGTGGGGAGGGAGTGTTTACCATAGGGCACATGCACTCACTGGAGAGAAACAGAGAGAAGGAACTGGATAAATCACTCCTCAGGAAGAATGGCCATGCCACAATCTTTTCTCCTTTATTTACCTCTTGGGATTGTGAGCATTCACACACACTCCAGGTGTGATTTTGAAGCCACTGGGTCTGGGAATCAACCCACGGTTGACAATGTGGTAATCCAGTGCCATAATCACTATGCCACCTATTGGCCCCATTTTGTTTTAAATTTTCATAGTTGGTTTTTTTTTTTTTTTTTTTTTCCATAGGGTGCGATGGCTTGCTGGAGAGAGAGAGACAGAAAGAAAGTCAGCCCCAGGGGGGATGGCCATCCCTTCTCCTCCATTCTTCTCTTGAGATTTTAAGCACACATACACACATACCAGTGCGATTTTCAAGCCTCCAGGTCTAGGACTTGAACCATGGTCAGCCATTTAAGAGTCCAGTACCTTAATAAGTATGCCACCTGCTTGGCTCCTTGTTTTAACTGTTAATTCTGAGAAACATAAGGTTCTCAAATGATATGTGTTATATAGGCTAATACAAGTACATTCTTGTGAGAGATCAGTCTCATCATTCCAGCATTAATGTAATTTCAGAAGTAGAGAGTGAGATGTTTAGAAATAGGAATCATTTAAGCCAATGGGCCATTTTAGAGAGGAAAGAGCTGATAGACTATAACAATAAGCACTCTTCTCTACCCATTTTTCACAGTGCGACCTAATGTTAATAACAGTTTTCTGACATCTACTAGACAGTCATCTTTACCTATTCATAAACTCATATAAACTTCTTGATAACCTTATCAAGTCAGAAAATAGTATTCCCATTTTACAGATGGAATTCATGGAGAATACAATAGTCCTGCTGATCTAAGGAGAATGAAATTAGAGTTTGAGGAGGCCAAAGTAACTGTATTTTATTGGGCAAAATACCAAAACCCTATATTTTCAAATCTATCCTACACAAGAAGAGTAGAGTATGAAGCATCTCACTCTCTCACCCAAAAATATATTATAAAACTGTGATAATCGAAATAGTATGGTATCGGCACAAAAACAGACATGTGGGCCAATGGAACAGAATAGAGACCTCAAAAATAACCCCAAACATACAGACAACTGAGTTTTGGTAAAAGGTACCTGTCAATACAGTAGGAAAAGGAAAACCTTTTTAGCAAATGGTGCTGAAAAAACATCTTTCTACTTGCAGAAAGATGAATCTGAACCTCTACCTCTCACCATTAATGAAAATCAACTTGAAGTGGATCAAAGATCTAAACCTAAGACCTCAAGCTAAAATACTACCTGTGAAAAATTCTGGGGGAATTCTGGGAGACCTTGAGGTAGGCAAATATTTCTTAAATAAGACCTCCAAAGCATGGTCAATAATCCCCAAAATAGATATGTGTGTTACATCAGATTAAGAAGTTTCTGCACAGCAAAAGACACAGTAATTAGTGTGAATCAACAACCCTTGGAATGATAGAATATTTTTGTAAACTATGCTTCAGATAAGGGACTGATATTCAGAATACACAGGGAACTCAAGCAGCTGAGCTGAAAAAAATGATGAATCCAACCAAAAGATGGGCAAATGAGCTGAAAAACAACTCTCTAAGGAAAACATGAACAGACAACAACGAAAAAATTGGGCAAAATCCCTCATCATAGGGAGATGCCGATCAAAACCACAATGAGATACCATCTAACCCTTGTCAGAATGGTGAAGATTAAAAACACAAAAATTGAAAAGTGTTGTTGGGGCTTTGGTTAAAGGGGAACTCTCCTACACTGCTGGTGGGAATGTAAATTGGTCCAGCCACTGTGGAGAACAAAAAGGAGATTCTTCAAAGATTTACAAATAGAACTACCACATGATCCAGTCACCCCACTCCTGGGTATGGACTCGAAGGACTTAATTGAAAAAGTGGTTGGACATCTATATTTATTGCTGCATTATTCACAATTGCTAAGACATGGAGCTAACCCAAATGTGGATGAACAGAAGAATGAATTGGAAAAGTATGGTACATATACTCTATGGAATACTATTCAGCCATAAAAAACAACACAACCCTGGTTTTGACAGAAAGTGGACAAATATGGAAGATTTACTACTTAGTGAAGCAAATCAGGCAATGAAAGAGAGACATTGCATGTCTCTTCATAATATATACCAACTGTCCACACTCT